GGGGGGGGGGGGGGGGGGCGGGGTGTCTATTCCAAATCACTCTTGTGAAAGAGTTTGGAATGCCCCTGGATTTTCACAGACAGAAACGTGGGGGGGGACGCGGGGGACTCAGAAGCTACCTGGGTCTGTCGTTTAGTAGAAGGGGAGGTAATTACCGTAAGAAGGAAAAACCATCCAACCTGTTAATATCCTCTTCCCCAAGTAAGTGCTTGGGAATTGGGGAATACCTTCCTGGTGAGATTGGGGGAAGACTGGACTTGTATTCCAGCGTGCCATTGTTGCCGGGGGAAGAAATATGATTTTCCATGGCTGGAGAAAAAGCTGTGAGAACAGAACAAGGGAACAAAGCGTGAAGCTGATACACAGAGAGCGGCCACTCACATACGGTCCAGTAAACCACAGCTGACGTAGCTCCGTGCACAATACAGAAAGACCTTCCAGAATGGCTAGAATGAACTTACGGTGGGTGATGTCTGGAGGTCCATAGGGGTCAGTCAGGTACACACTGGTGGGCTTGCCCACCTTCAGGTAAACCACATCAGACGTGTTCTTCAATATGGCCACAGCTTCCTCGTGAGTCACCTCTTCCAAGGTGTAATTGTTGACCTATGAGGGTTCGTGTTACAGCTCAGCCCCGAGTTCTCCCAGCCAATCAGAAACCAGGCCCCCTCAACCTGTCCACTGAGGCAGGGAAACCCGCTTGTACCATAATGCATGACGGAAACCGGTGTGACCTGGCTGGGTCTAATCAGGAACATTACACATGGTCAGGGCCTGACTTACAGGCTGGGATGAAGAAGCTAAAACCGACCTCCTGTGGGAACGTCATCGACTATCTGTGACTGCAGACTGACTTTGTACCAAATAAATAAAAAAAACATAAAAACACCCACAAACATTATTAATATGTTAAAATAAGTTTTATATGTAAATATATTCAGAATACACTAAAGTCAAAACACTGTTTGCTCCAGGTATAAAATACAACTGTATGAGAAAGTCTTAAAAATAAATTCCTCCAGGGAAATGGCTCAGTGATACAGATTTAATTAAAAGGAAGAAACATACACACAGAGCACCTTAACTCCCACTTATAGGGTCGTACCATTACAGGCAGGAGGTGTGGGGGGGGTATGGGCGCACACTCACCATGAGCAGCCGGTCCCCAACCTGCAAACGGCCATCTTTTTGTGCTGCCCCTCCGTCAATGATCTTGGTGACGTAGATGCTGTTGTCTCCGGGGATGTGCTGGTTCCCCACCCCTCCAGCAATGCTGAACCCCAGCCCTGAAGACAAGCATTGGGTGGAGGGGGTTACTTACACATTGTCCTCAAGTCATGGAAAGCATCTAAATTAAATTATTCTGAGCAGGTAAAGGATTGTACGTATAAAAGGCTATAGAAAGATTTCATAAAACCTAAGGATAATTAGTCAAAATTTGGAACAATCATTAAAGAACTAAAGCCAGATAATTGCTTGATAGATGGTGGAAATAGGGCATTTCGGTCTCTACAGATTCGGCAAATTGCTATAAAGCAGGGACTCCTTGCAAACAAGAAAGACAGAAGCACTTCTTTCATTTTAAAAACACTTCCTTAAACACAAGGCAAAAAGGCAGGCAGCAAGTGAGACCCTCCTAACTGAGTGTGAAAATTAAGGGCTGCTCACATTATATTCTGCTTTAAATGGATCCAGGAGCACTTTTGGAGTCTTTATATAACGCAGTTTCATGTGGGGGGAGGGGGAAGAAGCACATTGCTGATGCCATAGTACCCTGGCTAGAAATAAATAGGTGAGATGCTTTTTATTCCACCCAGGGCCAGGACGTCAGACACACTCCTGATGATCTCCAAGGCCCTGTTCTTCTATTCTCTGTTAGTTAACTGTCCGTCTTAGAGTGCTACCTCTATGGATGCAACATTTAAACTGGGATTATATTACTTAGTATCATTTGTTACACACAAAAGACAAAACACAAAGAGGTTGTAAAGGGCCCCCACCTTCCCAAAAGCATTATCAACATCTCTGTTCACCTGGATTTGTGAATTAAACTTTGCCTAAAGATGACAAAAGGAACATGATCATGTGACCATTACTACCCAACCTAATGGAATATTTTTTTTTAGATTTCTAACTTAGCATCCCAGCTAAAAATAAGCTCATCCTGCAAAGTGGGCCGCAGGTGGGGGGGCAGGTAAGGTGGCCTACCCTGAATCCGCTTTAAAAATATCCCGTGCCAACAGGGGCACATGCAACATGACGGCGCACTGACGCTCCTGCTTAGCTGTGCGACACAATCGAATGCAGACGAAGAGGGAAGTGAGAGGGAAGTGAGAGGGAAGTGACCTTTTGGTCCTTTGATGAGTTTGATCTCGATGACGGTCTCCAGCATCGGTCTCCGCCGGCGCACATACAGTCGCACGATGGAGCCAGCCACCTTAAGGGCCTCCACAGCCTTGCTGTGCGACACCTCGGACACGTCGGCGTCGTTCACCCTCAGGATGCAGTCGTTCACTCTGGGGGGGGGGGCAGGAGGAGGGAGGGGTGACTGGGTGGAGCAGTCAGGAGGGTGGGTAGGCCATTTGGCAGAAAATCCCCAGCATGATGGCATGAGCCTGGGCCCCAGCTGCGATCCCCCCCGCCAGTCCCCCTCAGCCACCAGTAGAGACAGACCCCTCCGGAGGTGAGTGTTAGGGACTCAGCTGGGAACGGAGCCCACACACAGCCAACCTCGCATTGCTCGCATCCGGAGGGGGGAGGCAGCAGGCTGACATGCCACTGGCCTCCAGCTGCATACGATCAGAAGGGCAGCGTTACGGCTGCAGGATGTTTCTCAGAAGGTCACCATGGCGATATTAAAGTGGGTCGCGCTCTATAGCACATCAACCTCCTGTACTTGGTCACAGAGCATCATCACCCTGGCGTTCCAGGGAGTGGCAGCTGTTTCTAACCCCAGGATGTCACTGCCTCTCAGGGCGGCTCCGACAACAACGGCACTGGTCCTGCGGTACCAGAGCTGAGCGCTTCCTTTAAGTGTGTTAACTAAACAGATTACTAAACCATGCGAGAAGCTGCTGCTTTAAAACAAATGCTGCACATTAAACAACATATGATCACAAATAACAGTAAAAAAATAACGTAAAATTTTAGCATAATTAAAAAATTTGTGTCGCTACTTTTGCACTTACATTAACAGAATTTTAAGCATAGATCTTCATGGCACAAATAACACTTTTAATATTTTGGCAGAATCCATTCAATGTCATTTAAAAACAGGTCCTTTTCCCTTGATGCAGTAGTTTCTTCTCGCGCATGAGACAACAAACTGTTAATTGCGAGGATGCTTTATTTTCAGTCCATCGCATGCAAACCTCTGCAATGTCAGGCAAAGGTAAACAGAGAAAACATGTAATGTAATGGGTGTGATGGGTTTTCTAAATTATGTCCACTCTTGAGGAATGATAAGTTTAAGGCAGCTAGCATTTTATTGGATTAGTGTCTTGGTCAGACCATTTTGCAGGTCCTTGCATTAACAATAAGCCGAAAGTATGTGTGTTGCACAAAACAGGACATAAAGTGGCGCAGTGGCTCTCACTGCCATTCTCTTACGATGGTGACCGGTGCCGCTGGGGATCAATGTGAGCAGAGGACGGAAAAAGTTTACTGAAAAGTCCCCTTGAGATACCACACCGCCAGGTCAACATACTATGCGATGACCCACAACTGCACAGGACTACACGTCACTGAGCCAAGGGAGCCATCTGTGCTGTCTCCGTGGCAGAATCCAAGCTAGGCTAGAAATTCTCTCATATGCGAGAGCAGATGGGTGAGGTAGCTGTGGCATAGAGGAGAGCGTCAGGGTCCACTACTCTACAACTGGAGTTTCTATGACTTGCTGTTTCCAGACTAAGGCCCTTTCACTTGGCAAATCTCACCACAAACGAACACACCTGCAATACACAGTTTAGTATATGAATCCTTTTTACGTGCCCTTTTTCCAACAAGTCATCAGATAAGGAATAAAACAAGAGCACAGTCTCCAGTAAATTGCGATTCTACGTCTTTGTGTGGCATCCAGAATATAAACTTAGCAGAAGAATGCTGCCCCACCCTCCAGGTCATCCAATGGGCTTTGACCGGATGGGGGGGCGGAGGGGCTCTTGGATAGCTGCTGTGCTAGGAGCCACATGAGTGTGGTTTCAAGGCTTAGGACTCACTGGCTGTAGGGCACTGGTTCAAATTCCAAGGCTGGAAGACTGATCATATCACTGTTGGTTACATAAGAACATAAGAAATTTATAAATGAGAGGAGGCCATTCGGCCCATCAAGCTCNACTACAGCCGTGTCGGTCTCCTGGACAAACAGCTATGGAAGAGCGATGGACGGAAGAATTGGTGGGAAAAAGAAAACATGCAAAACATAGGAACATAAGAAATTTACAAACGAGAGGAGGTCATTCACCCCATCAAGCTCGTTTGGGGAGAACTTAACTAATAGCTCAGAGTTGTTAAAATCTTATCTAGCTCTGATTTAAAGGAACCCAGAGTTTTAGCTTGCGCTACACTAATAGGAAGACTATTCCATACTCTTACAGAAGAGTGTAAAGAGTGTAAAGTGTAAAGAAGTGCTTTCTCAAACTCATTTAAAAATGTTCTCCTGCTAATTTCCACTTATGGCCTCAAGTTCTAGTATTTAAACTAATATTGAAATAGCCATTTGGCTGAACAGCATCCAGACCTGTTAGAATCTTATATACCTGGATCATGTCCCCCCATAATCTCCTTTGCTAAAGGCTGAACATATTCAGCTCAGCTAACCTCTCCTCATAAGACATTCCTCTAAGACCAGGAATCATTCTTGTAGCCCTACGTCGCAACCTTTCCAAGGCAGCAATGTCCTTTTTAAGGTATGGTGACCAAACCTGCACACAATATTCTAGGTGGGGTCTTACCAAGTAATTATATAATCCTAGCATCATCTCCCTTGACTCCATAGAGATGTAACCCAACATCCTATTGGTTCTTTGAATTAGATTGTTAACCCCAAACTGCACTAGCGGTGCTGTTGACTGCAAGCTTTGTGCTCACCTGTATCTCTGCATTTCATAGGTACTGTAGATGATATGGGAAAATGAAAGAACTCTTATATAGCTGTATCAAATAGAGTATCATCATGTTGACAGGACTGGGGCTGTGTTTTAGGGAGTGTACTGAGACTGACAAACATCCCCACAGGCTTAGAGCCCCCGAATCCCTGTGTTTTATAAGAACTGACAGAAATGGTGGAGATTTCACATGGAGTATTGATGTTGCTTGGATGCTGTCGTAATATAATGATTCACTTATAATGAGAACTAAATTCACAAAAAACAAACAAACAAGCAAAAAGAAAATCCGAGCAAACGACTACAGTTGCAATTAACTGCAAGAAGGCTAGAACAGAACTGAAAGAGCCAGTCAAAAACTATGACACATTAAAAATTGTCTGTGCAGAAGATATGTGTAGATATGTTAAGCATTGATTGTCAATTGACTTTTATTATTAAACCAATAATTTTTGCAGAATTAAGCAAGTGTCTCAAGTGTCAGCATGAAGGTCACAGTCTGACTGTCGCAATCAACTAGGAATGTCTAGAAAATAGGTCTATTAGCAAAACAATCCTTACTGATGCCGCTTTCAAAATAATCATGTGCAGAGAAATAAATTGGGGACATATTAAAGGACAGAACATGAAAAGGCCTCTCAGGGGCAGGAAACTACAATTAATATCTTTAAAAGCAAGCAAAAAAACTGAATCATCAAGGAGTGCATTAACAGTGATCATCAAAAGGCATTAAAAAGGCAATGTGATGTACTGGTCCTAAAAAAGTGTCTAAGAAAATGGGGAGGTAACTGAAGCGAGCATTAAGTCAGACCTTCGAGACTCGGATAGAGGGAAATTATTTCTTTCAATACAAAGCTATCTGGAGGAGCAGCTAAAACCACAATGTACCTGGCAGATAGGCGACAGGATGAAGACCAAGGAGTTACAGACCTGAGCCGACCATCCTCAGCAGCTGCACCACCTGGGATGATCTTGGTGATGAAGATCCCTGGATCATCCCCAATGTGGGGGTTGTCTGTCCCTCCGGCAATACTGAACCCCAGACCTGAGTTACCCTGAAACAATCAAGCCAGATATTGCAAATATCACCTTTAAAAAAAAACATTATTTTGTAAACCTGAAATGCACACAAACATCATCGCAATTATCAGAATTATAAGCAAAGCAGAATATCACAAAATAATGATGTTTTCCTCCACATAAGCACAGAAAAATTAATTTCAATACAGTCATTACTGACGGCAGTAAATCCAAGCCCTTTCAGTGAATTATAGAGTCTGTTTAGGATTTGGTTTGTCTGCCCGTGTTTGTTTTCAGGATCAGTGATGACTCAGGACTGTTTCCTGACAATAACCAGCCAGCACTAAGCTAAGTAAATCATCAATGTTTTATTTACACAAAACGTAGCCCTGCCACAAGCCCAGCAAGTGTCCTCTTCAGACTGACAGAACTGGTATGACAAAATGAAAGCTTTGGAAATATAAACACATCCAACATTTGCACAGATGATGTGATTATGACTCCAACTACATTATTCATGCAATATGCTTTGTTTGCGATTTTAAGCTATGCACACAAACAAAATGTTACTGCAGTTGTAGCACTTAGAAACAACACAATCTGTTTGAGATCTGGCAGCAGGATTTTTTGCCATGAAATGTCACCAATTCAATGGGTGAAGAAACATACTTTCAGTCACAGCCTTATGGCCTAGAGGTCAATTCTATCACTGGCATCTCACAGATGTCTTCTCAGACAGTCAACCTTTACAATGAGACTCCATATCATACCTCATAGATCAGAGTTGTGTATGCAGGTACTGACCTTTCCCAGTGCTGTGGCTTTGTTTTCAACCATATGTGTCTCATTAGGGGTATGAAAAGGTCAGGTGAAAGCTGTTTATCAGGAGAAAGGGTGAGCTGTGTGAAGTGCTACACCAAACCCCTCTCTATCACCCCTGAGAAAGCAGTAGCACCCTCCTGTGCTGGAAGTCATCTGAAAGTCTCCAAGATGCCCGATGAAACATGACTTACATCTGCTATATGGCCAAGGTCAATAGGAGTTTGACCAATGAAAAACAGCACAGGTATACCAGCAAATAAAAGTGCCCATTTGGCGGTTTGTAACAGGGTCTCAGACATACTGGAAATCAGAGGTGGAAAGTTCAGGTCCAGAAAGTAGAAATCCAGAACAAGGTTTTGTTTCAGCCAGCCAGTTGAGTACCCTGCGACTGTGCCTCTTTATACTCAACTGGTTGGTTGAAACAAAACCTTGGTTTAAATTTGTATTTTCTGCATCTGGACATTCCACCTCTGCTGGGAATGGGCCAGGTTGACCGGACACGTTTGATGTTGCTGTCATCATGGTACTCCAGACTCACAGGACTCTGCAAGCTGCCTGCCAAGCCGAGAATAAAAGCATGGAACTCCCAAGAGGCCCAAGAGTGGTACCATAACACACAGCCGTGGTGACACCCATTGATCTTCTCCCCTCATGTTTTGTCCCCATATTTAACAGGGGGTCCTTTAAATCCTACACTCACCCCATGACAAATCCAGATGCCACTTGGCAACAAAGAGACAAATAAAATAAGTAACAGGCAAAGTGGAGGTTCCCAAGATGACCTTCTGGATTTTACCATGATTGTTTTTTAACAATGTTCAAGAAAACAAAAGTATTAGCACTGATTCGGTGCTGCCTTGACAACCCATCAGTTATCAGTCAGGTAATTATGATAATGGGATTGGTTTGTCTTAATAAACATCTGCCTGCATGACTGAAAACATACACTGATGAAGACATCATACCAAAATGTGTGTGTTATACCATTGGTGAGTACTGTATATGATAAAAAGAACCCTTTTTTAAAAAAAGAAATACTCACCCGTTCTAGTGTGATTTCTTCAAATTCATATTCAATTTCGGTTCCGTTGACCTAAAAGAAATAGGAAAAAAGTTGAAGATTGACATGAGAGTTTTGTTTCTTGGATGAAATCCTGTGTAACAAAGCAATAAAACCAGAAAAGAACTGAATGAGCCCGTAGGAGCCGTGTTGGACAGGTACAGCTGCCTTTTTGACAGCTGCTACCAACACACCCAAATCAAGTCGGCAATTTCTCTGTAAACATCAGAAAATTTATAAAAAATAAACATGCAGCACATACTGCAGAGAGACCTGGAAGAAGACCAGAATGTTAAGCCATCTCTGGTTTCTAAAGCTTAAAAGTACATAATAAAATTTCCCAGATTGTAAGAGCATCTGTAGTTGGTGTTTTATTAAATAATACAATGGAAATTATATATTCTGCGGTGGTGAGTCAGCTTGGATATAGGCATGTAAACTTTGCTTGATCTATGCAACCAGTTTATTTTCAGAAAAATACCGTACTCTGTGTACCTGTGTACATGTTAGTAACCTACGTTGTACTCCATAGACTTTCTGAGACAAGCCTTACGCTCAGTTTAATTAAGATCTTAATAAGGACAGATTTTTCCCTGACAGGGTTCGCATACAACGACCTTGAGCAGCAGCTGCTGAATTACAATGAGGAGGCTGCAATTTCAGTTGGAAGACAAAAAGCAAGCTAAGAAGCAGCCGGAGAGGCCCTTTGCACTCTGTTACACTCTCAATCGGTGTCCGGTGCACTGTGAGGTGTGAAAATCCATATCAGACTGCCTGAAATTGCTAAAAGCCCCAACGGTTGCAAAAGTTGTCCTTTCCATCTCTACTCAGCGCAAACTATTCAGAAGCACAGATACAGCAAAAGGCATCTCTGAAGTAAAATTTTGGCTTGATACCCAAGAGAAGTCCTTGGGGGGGGGGCAAGAAAATTAGAATAAGTAAGATAATGGGACGTGAAACTGTGAATGAGTGTGAGTTATTTAATTAAAATTCTCATTCCACAGCATTGTTAAATAACTGCAGCTAAAGTAAAGGCTGCTCAGTTCTCTAATTAACAGACAGGATATCTCCCCTTTGTTCTGCCACAAGTTTGACAGTGCAATTAATGCATCTTAGCCCCCATTAGTGACAAATGTCAGTTACGTTAATACAAGCCTGCCACTAACTCCTGGGCACATAAACATTGGTAGTCATCTGACATGTAATTGTGTTCAGCTGGAATAAGGGGCATTTATTTAACTGCAAAAAAATAAGCTCAATCAATTTACAGGCATTATAAAATATGGGTATAATTACACCAGTGGTTTAAATAAAACAGCCTCAATGTGGAACTGAAAGAGCAAGTAGGTCTCTATTTGGATAAGAATCGGACAGAAATTAGGGTCAAGGTTAGTCTAAAAATCATTCCAGATGTGATGGAAAGTTGTTTCGGTTAGCTAGAAGAGCATGCACGCTTCTGTTTTAATACAATCGCCATCAAACACACGGGGGGAGTTTTTAGAGTTATTTTTGTGCACAGTGGCTCTTTCATGTTAAAGGTGGGAGGGCAGCCAAAATATAATTCCAACTAGGGCAGAACGGAACTGTAAAATTGACACCAAGCTCATCATAACGCAACAGAGAACGATGGCAGTTAAGCTGCACCCTGCGCAGCCCATTACTACGGCTGGACATGGTAACATAGCTTGGCACCAAAAATGTTGCAGCCTGCTAATGGGTTCCTGCATTTCTGGCTGTATAACCAGGCGATCCCTACTGTGCTCTGAGGAGATCCTGTGCCAATCTGACCTTAAGAGTAGCACTACGGAGAGGACTACACACAGACTACACCAACACACAACGTGATGTTTTGCCGGTTATTGACGGTAAAGCATCTAAAAATAATGCAGCAGGAAAATAAATGCATTTAAGATTTGAAGCTGTGCTCATTATCCATGTCAGCCATCATTAACCGAGAGGGGATCTGTTCAAGAGGGCCGCCTAAACCCACAGGGGAGATTGCTGCACTGGCGTTCATTAGGCTGAAAAGAATCCTGGTGTCATGAATTATTTTTGTTAGCGGTCCATAGAAATATATCCTTCCGCATGTCTAACCCCGAAGGTGTGACCCAATTATCTGGAGCTGACTGGCGCTTACGTTCCCGGATGATTCGGCACTTTAAACCTAAAGCAATGGGATTTATCCTGTCACTGCACCATAACTGGTAATTCGTCGGATCACCTGGAGCTCACGGACACCACACTAAGACGCAAGGAATTGCATCAACCTGGAGAGGCATCGATTTGAGGTGTACACAGGTAAAACACACATACGCATACACACAGATCAACAAAGGATTACCTTCTGGGACTTGAGGCAATAAATGAGCTTACAGGATAAAAGGAGACAGTACTAAAGAGTGAGAGAGAGCTCTCATGGATTAAATGAATGTCTCATGGATGTCTTCTGTGAGTTGTGAATCGAGGAAGAGTGCTACATAATTGCAGTGATAGAAATCCCAGGTCCAGAAAGTAAAAATCCAGACTAGGATTTTGTTTAAACCAACCAGTTGAATATACAGAGTCACAGAGTACTTAACTGGTTGGTTGAAACAAAGTCCTGGTCTGGATTTTTACTTTCTGGACCTCTTGGCTATAACCCTGACTAGTACATAACAGCTATACACCTGATGTGCACATTCAAAAAACAGTTTGGAGAATGCACCAGACATATGAAATGACAATCTTTAGGGAGTAAAAAGCATGAGATGATACAGAAGGTGATGAGAAATGAGATGATAAGCCCATTAGTTAAAATATTTACGATTTTATGGGCATCAAAATATACATCATGTGCTGAAGAAATAGTTTATATTCCTACAACCGGTTCAAAATTTTAGTTAATATCAAACCAAATTAGTTTTATTCCATGAATGGGTTCATCATGTGATGCAAATAAGCAGTGCCCACACTTTGTAACACTCTGACAGCTGGGGCACCAGAAAAATATTGTGACATAACAGTACAATACTGTACTGTGAATGAACCATATTTTCCATGATTAAATTAGAATTTGTATCCATAATTTAACTTTTTTTTCATTAAACTAAAGGAATAATTATATATATATGCAGATACATTACTTTATAATTATTACAATCTACTGTAAGTTTAAAAAAAATAATTTTACAAATGATCTCCGCTATTTTGCACATAATTACGTTTCATCTACCCATAAAACCTCAGATTCTGTGTAGAAAAACAACAAAATTACTAAAACATCTGCTAATCAGACAGAAAATGTTCACTTGGGTATCAGCATAGGGGACACCCTAGGCAGGGGACACCCTAGGCAGGGGACACCCCAGGCATGGGACACCCTAGGCAGGGGACACCCCAGAAAAGGGACACCCTAGGAAAGGGACACCCCAGGCAGGGGACACCCTAGGCAGGGGACACCCTAGGAAAGGGACACCCCAGGCAGGGGACACCCTAGGCAGGGGACACCCTAGGAAAGGGACACCCCAGGCAGGGGACACCCTAGGAAAGGGACACCCCAGGCAGGGGACACCCCAGGCAGGATACCAGTCCATCGCAGGGCATACACAGTATGGGCAATTTTGACATCGATTCACTTAAGTGCATATCTTTGGACTGCGGACGGTGAGAATGAAAACTTCAGACAAACAGTTGGTGTGAGGCCACTATGTAACCACTGCGGCATCATAAATCACAATATACAGGACAAATCACCATAATATGTACGTGTTAAGTAAATTATAGGTTGCATCTGTGGCAATACTGTCAAGCAGAAACCACTCGTCACTGCTGGAAAGTGCATTTCTCCAGGCACATGGCACTCCTGTGTCATTAGACTCTTGTTGTGTCATGACATGTCCTTTGATTATGTTTACAGTGAACAGACCAAACATTGCTTCCATTAATGGAAACTTTTCAAAATAAACCCGAGACTTATTTTAAAAACACAAGAGTGGGTGCGATGGAATGAACAGACCCTGGCTTTTCTCAGTCTTTTCTCAGTTTTCACATTCCTGTCTTTCAAATATTATGTGATCTAAGAAGAGGTGTAGCTACTGTTTATGAATCTCAGAAATAAACAAATAAACAAAACTGTACAGAACATAAGACTTCCCATCCAGGACGTTTCAAATCTCCCAAAATTAATGTGGGATGGGTTTTAGTCCCTAGGTGAAGGCTTGATGTATACAGCTCTGGAAAAAACTGAGCAGCAGGTTGCTTCCAGACTCAAAATTTCTAAGACAGCATCCACAAGAACGATATGAAGCAGGAGACACTGGTAATAACTGAAAACCAGCCAGGTAGAGGGCAGAAGCAACTTTCTAATGCAAGAGGTGACCATCAATTTATCCAACAGTGCCTCATGAACTGGAGGATGACATCAAATGACCTTCAAGATGAATGGGAAACATTAAGTGGTGTGAAGTGCACTGTTAGGACAAGGGCGTAACAGGCTCTTAGAGGCAGGACTGATGTTCCTTAAAGCAAGGAAGAAGCACTTCATCATAGAGAAACAGAGAAGAAAATGATAGTTTACACAGAAGCAAACCCATAAATTGAGAAATGTGTCAAAATAAAAATTGTGCTGTGGTCTCACATTTTTTTCCAGAGCTGTATAACTTGTAAGGAAAAACTGACCCCATCGGCACAGAACATAAAGCACGTCATGAGCAGTAAACTGGGAACAGCTCAAAACATCCCTGAAAACACTGGAGGGGCTTATTATTACATTTTGAAGCAGAACATTATGGGGCAGCATGGTGGCCCCCAGGCTTCCCGGCCCCCTCTGTGTGGAGGCTGCTCCTGCCACGTCTGTGTGCCTTTCCTCCAGTCCAAAAACATAAGATTCGGTAAACTGACATCTCTTTATTGCGTACGGTAAGTGAGTGTGTGCCCTGCAATGGACTGGCTTCCCATGCATGGTGCTCATGGTTATGCACACACCGCTACCATGCTTATTTGTTAATTGTAGCTCATATTTAGCAGCTTAAGCCGTGACCACATGACCAACGTAAACGCACCTTCCCACCATCATGTACAATGTCCTTTCTACATCAGGGCCAGGCTGCTAATAGCTCCACCAAACGGCATTCATCCAAGTTACACTACACTGGGCAACTCGGCCTGCTCCTTAATCTACTGTTAAAGCCAGCTGGCACTTCAGCAGCAGAACGGCCTTGAAAGATCGGACAGGAGGAGTACAAGAACTCACGGGAACCTCTTTAGTGTCCTTCAACGATGTTGAGCCACATGCTTCAGGCGGGCTTAATGCACTGAAATGGCCTCAAACCGAAATTCACTACATTTAAACTGGTCAATACATGTGTATCTTTTTCTACTCTTCACTGCGGTATGAAGCAACCACTAACATCACTTGTTTTCTTTTGAAAGTAGACTTGCAGCCCCTTTCTCGACGGTGAATAGCTAATAAGTGCATTTTCATGAGTGCTAAGGAATAGCTTGGTGCTTCACCACTGAATCATCCAGATTTTGAGCTATGGACCTGGTCTGATTAACTCGTCATAGTTATATTGTTCTCAATGTAAACAACTAGAACGTTCCAGATTTGCGTCCAAGTGTTTTATACCTAAGAAGCAGCTGAGAGAGTATAACGGTCTGAGATGCTGTTACGAGAGGAGCTGCAGAAATTACAACACGAGAGATGCAAATGACAACTGAGTGTTTTGGTATGAAGGCTCCCTTCATTCAAATTAACGTTATTTTGATATTTTGACATTTCTCAGAAATGTCAGACGACATGCATTACTCAGTGTTTCAGGCAGTAAAATATTACAGAATTGTTATGGAAACGAAAGCAACTGTTCTAACTGAAATATTGAAAATGTCAGTTATGCTTTAAAGAGCTTGTGTTACTTTCTTTACACTGCTTTGACTGAGAATTTCAATGCAACAGAACACGGTTATTTTCAAGTCAAAAAACCAATGACACAGTTTATCAGCTTGAATCGATAAAATGTCACCTGTCATTAGACAAAAGTACATTTTCTGTCAGTAAAGAACTGTGGCTTGGAGATATCTCCAAGCACAATAACACAGATGTAATGTTACATGACATATTACAATGAGATGTCATTCAGCCTATCTTTCTTGTTGATTAAAATATAAAATGCAAATATAATATTTATAAATATTATATAGATGCACATTTATGAGCGCATTCATAAAATACTAACAAATGTTTATTTCCAAACTAGATTTTGCAATCTAAACATGAACTTTGACAAGGTGTTCAGCTTGCACTTTTTATGATTTGTTCCACATTCCTTGGCTTAGTAGGGCGGGAACACACATATAAATAAGGACAGTTAGCCCACTGTGTGATTAGCACTAACATCCATGGAAAAAAATCTATTTAAAACTGGTTTATAGAGCAGCAATTCTATCATTGAGCTTTCTATCATGAGGTTCCAAGCATCAAATATCTATGAAATACTAGAGTGGGCTATCCCGAATTACAACCGGCACTTACAACCAGAGGACCAATGGCATTCTTTGATAATAAAACTACAAGATAATATCAGACAAATCTATAAAGTTTATTTTTCTATATCAGAAAATTCATTTACAGAACCAAGCATGGTATTCAGAAAATTCACAAAGTATTTCCAATAACGATGTTTGTTCTTCCTTACACAAACCCAAGCATCACATATTGCTTGCTTACCACCCATAAGTCGTCGCACCTGTGATCATAGAAAGGGCCGAGACCCGTCACACATTCTGTCCCGTACCTGAGTGAGCGCAAAACCCACTTCTAAAGGGAGCCTCCAAATGGCACTTACAGAGAGCAGGTCCCAGGGCACCCGGACCTGTTCCATCTCCAGGAAGCTGATCATTTTCCATGCTCAATTACACACCGCAGGTGCCACTCTGCTCCGTTACCTTGCCAGTGGCAGGTGGGTCCTTGGTGCACAGTGACACGTAAATTTTTACACCTTTTTGCACAATTCACCTCCATGCACCAATTGCGGCCCAGACATGGCCGCAGTCTCTCCCCCCCAGATTTATGGCAGCTTCCAGACTCTGTTCTCGATTGAGGTTAGTACAGCACGTCCCCTTCCAGACTCTGTTCTCGATTGAGGTTAGTACAGCACGTCCCCTTCCAGACTCTGTTCTCGATTGAGGTTAGTACAGCACGTCCCCTTCCAGACTCTGTTCTCCATTGAGGTTAGTACAGCACGTGCCCTTCCAAACTCTGTTCTCGATTGAGGTTAGTACTGCACGTCCCCTTCCAGACTCTGTTCTCGATTAAGATTAGTACAGCACGTCCCAAGCTCTGCTCATCCTTAGCCCTCAGCCCGTTAAAGTGTTTTTACCCTGAAAGTATTAATAAAAATTACTGTAATGCATATATTTTTGTTAATGCTTACATTTGCAGCACGAAACAAAAGGCCATTCCAAATCTGAGTCACCATACTTGAGGTAACCCCTTAACCAGAAACACAACCTTTGCTGCAATCACAAGTGCCCACGGAGTCAAAACCATCTCTTCCTCTAGACAGCATACAGATATTTTTCATGCCAATACTTATTAATATTATTACTCTTATGTTATTTTTCAAGTTGCCAAGTCTTTGTCACAGACACTTTATTTGGTGACTAGAATCAGGGCTGATCAGAAACTCAGTGAATCACAGTGAATCACCTGTTTTATTACCAGGAACTAGTTAGTCATGTGAAAACATCACAACCAATGTTAAATAAAATGACCATGTCATTTTTCTAAAGCAGTGCCAGGTTGTCCATGACTTTGTGTTATCCACTGACTGCAGTTACGGGAGGACTTGATGGCATGTTTAAGTTGCTGGATGGTATCATCCTGGAAGATGTGACAGTCATCCAGAAAACAGCGTCTGGCCCCAAGATGATTAATGCATAGCGGGTATAAGTCGAATATGTAGTCTGTGTCAAATTGTGTTTCGTACAAAGATTAACATTCACAAGAGATGGCCACCATATTTGTTATATTCACAATCCTGAGGAGTGAAGTTAAAAATCTGCTCTGAAGCTGAACTCTACACAGACTGATAACTCTGTTGTTTACTGAAATAACTCATACAGAAGTCACAGAGTCTTTCAAGCTTGCTGGTAAATTAATATTTTATAAATCACTGAAAAAAAAGACAAGAAATATGCAGTTTTGCTCTAGATGGGTTTTTCAGACACATAAGGAGGTAATTCAAGCAAAGCTTTTGAAAATCTTTAGTGTAAGAAATTTTTATAAAATTATAAAAATTATTTTATTTCTTAATTTATAGATGTTACATTTGGAGGTGGCCATAACCAGCAAAGTGATTTTACCTCTTTTTATCTTGTTACAGTGATTAACTGAATTCAGAAAAAGCAAACAGGACCTTTGGCAGATCTCACAAATAGAAAATGACATTTACGATTGTTGACATTTTTTAGAAAGAAATTTTGAATTTGAACTAAAAATCAAGGAGGAAAAAACACTCTGAACTTCCTTGGACAGCCTTGTACGTTTTGTGTAACATTTACATAAGTGTTGTTTCTTTTGAAAACACGGCTCCGATAATTTAACAGTTCTTTCCAAATACAAATGACCTAAATTTAATGTCAAAGTAATAAAAAGTATCACTTGTTTGAAGTATTAACCAGTATTGTCTTCCTCATCTGTACCTGTGCTTCTCTTACTGTACATCCTCTGCAGGGGGGGGGGGTGATATTTAACAGCTGATTTATGAACTTGGTCTGTTATCATTTTTCCCGTTCACTAACATCTTGCCATTATCCTTTTTTTCTGCATTTCAGTCTGTGTTTAGCAGATAATAATCATGTAGAAAAGACAAGAAAAATCAAAAAACTAAAAGAATGCAGACTCAAACCACAAACCCAAGGAATAAACCCAATTTATTTATTCCTCCCTGTCAGTGGAAATCAATATTTTATTACTGATTCACCAGAGCTCCGGTCCTTCTAAATAATGTTATGCAGTGAGGCCCCATGTTCCTTTTGACCTGTGATCCTGCTCCAGCACCGTTTCCTTCCCCGCCAACAGCACCTCAGTCCCCCCACCTTTCATCCTCTGTTGCAGATTTGTGACAAAGGTACTCTGCCCTGAAGTCAAGGATACTTCACCAGGAAACAAAATGGCCTTTACAATAATTACAAGAGTATATAATTTTTTAGTGTAATGACTGTGTTAAAGGAACCCCTTGTACTTACATAAGGTACCGTCTCCAACGTCTCAGTGTTGACTATAATCGGGGCAGGACTCGCCTGAAAAAGAGAAGAAATGAGGATTAAACGAAAAGAAAAGGTACCATTATCTACTCATTCCTTAAAACAATCCAAACTGACTGTCTTGCCTCTCAGAACTGGGAGTTCAAAACCCGCCTCGGCTCTGTCTCTTGCCTACAGTGATTTTACTTGTGGACTGGCATCCCATGGACTGGCATCTCGCCCAGCGGGTACTCTTACCCTCGTGCTCTTGTAGCCCCCCCCCCCTCACGAGGACATGTGCTAAGAAAATGGATGACTTGAGATTGAACATAGACAACATCCGTCGACTTACCCAAAGATGGTCAGACTGTACCATGGGTAAATGTGTTTGCGGCACAGTTTGAACAGAAAATGGATATAGTATCAAGTAAAAACAAAAGAATCAAAAAACATATCAACAGTGACATCTACAATAGGCAGCAATCGTTGTCCTGTTAGGAAATACACTGTATAACTGTGGAGTAGAGGGGTGAGATTCACTGTGGAGAGCCCATTCAGTAAGATTCATGGCCAGAGATACGGTAGGCTCATTAAACTGAAACAAGCGTCTTCTAACGATCATGCAGCAAAAGCCATTTTAAACTCACTCTTGTTAATTGGAATTGAGCAACATTTCAAGCAAATCAATGACTGTTCCAGCATTTGATAAGGGGCAGTGCGTGGCTCAGCAGGCTAAGCCTGTGATTGGGAGGTTGCTGGCTCAAGCCTAGGCAGAACCATCACATGTCTGTTGGCCCTCGAGCAAGGCCCTTAACCCCCTTGTTCATTGAGTATGAAACAGGGTAGATGAAAAGAGAATTTCCCTACAGGGATTAATAAAGTATCACTATCCCATTTTATTAACCCTCTGGAAAGTGACCCTCGAGAAGCACCTACAGTAGGTCAATGCTGGAATGCTCATCGGGGCTCAGTTGTTCAGGAGTAATCTGAGCGGATTTCAGATATCGGATTGGATGAAATCTTGAAAATGGGCTGTTCAAAAGAAAAAAAGAATCCTGAATTCTGATAAAATCATATAATCCAGTCTTGGTTTTGATCAGGAACAAACCTTGAGTATGTGTTGTTCAAATTTTTTTTATTTAAAACGTGTTCAAAGTATTCTGAAATTATTTGTGTATTTGCTTTTACTTATTTTTTGTTAGTCAGATGAGGGGAGTGACTGTTTAGAATAAATTGGAAATAGAAGGGGGTGTTTGTATTCTTCAATGGTACTGTTTACTATCTCTTCAAATAACAGCACTTAAAGTGACCCCACACTGGCTATTCGGCCTGTAGTTCTTTACACAGCTCGTAACCTACATTGTGATACTGTACAGTATGTCGTCCCATTTAGAACACTGGTAATCCAGATTTGGTTATCTTTAAAAGTTTGCATCTGAATCAGGGTGTAATTCTGCTTTGAGAAACCGGCGTAAAGGTAAGATGGATTACCTGGTCCTGGATAATAAAACATGGGATTTCTGAATCGGGATGATTATGAACCACATTCAACTTTTTGAACAACTGGGCCCTAAAGATCACTAAAGTCAGTTGAGGGTCAGTGACTCCATGGAACGTGAAACCTGGTGGGGGGGTCTAAGGCAGATTGCTATTGAGCTGATCAGTGCTAAACACCGGGACACTTTCTGCTAACTCTGCACCCCTGATAATTGCATTAATGAATTCTGAGCCTTAGGAGCTATGGCTTAAATAAAGAAAAAAAAAATATGGTCAGAAGGGAGAGGAGGGAAACTTTCAAAGTGAGGAAATTGATCAACAGTCCCATTATATTGTAATTCACAAAACATCCAGCAGAGCACACATGAATAATTTCTGTCAGGCAACCTAAGCAATGAAAAGCTGTCAGTTACGAAGCACCCTTAGGTCCTGAACACCCTTAGGTCCTGAACACCCTTAGGTCCTGAGGAGCCAACTAGAAGTCAAGCCTGGGCAGGCAACTAATGTAAGTCAGCTAATAATGTTCCCTGTATCAGGGTATCCAACTCTGGTCTTCAAGTACTTGCAGGTTTCACATTAAATATTAACTAGAGCAGAATTTACACCCAAAAGCACTAGCTGACAAGGCCTGTAGTCCAGATAACTGCTCTGACAAAGTGCTTAAGTTGCCATTGACTGCAAACCAAAACACTACTACGGTGTCTCCTGCCAGGTGATTCACACTTGGCAATACCTGAATCCAAACCAGCATGATTGGTCTGCCAGGTGTTTGCTTTAAACATGCAGTATAAATCAGGTGACACTCTACACTCTACAAAAGCAGACATGTTAAATACACCATTTATGTTCTAAACGGGCAGAGGCAAGGATGCAAATAATCATAATCATCCAGGTTACAAGGATTCTGAACAGTGTTCATTTTGAAGGATATACACAAATAGCTAAAATAATCTCCAGAACTGGCATGTCAACGGGGCACAGCATTAAATATGCTTTAAACACTAATAACCTGCCCTTTACTTTGATTTGATGATAGCTCATTTGAATCAGATAAGAACTTTAACCTCCATGGCTTTGCCCTGAAATGGAAATTTGTGTTGACCAAGTCAACTCTTCTCGGCACACATGTAAGAGCTGGCGGCAGATGCCTGGGTCATGTGACCTGCACAGCGCTTAGCCATAATAAGATAAGCTGAAGCAAAGGCCCTTTGGAACCTTAGAACAGGACCCCTGCACTGCTATGCCACTGAAATATTGGGAAGTCATTACAATGAAAATCAAGGGGCTTTTAAATTTTATATTTCTATGGGACTAGAATAACTATCAATACCAAAACAGCATTTATTCCATTAACCTGTGCAATGCATATTATTTGCAAACACACACATACACACACACAAACACACACAAACACAAACTATTTACTTATATATAAATTTGTAAATTTCAGTTGCATTTTGTGACTGAAATTAAGTGGAATATATTTCCACTATATTAATGAGCAAATGTAAATGCACCCAAGTTTAGACTCTCTGTAATTGGAAAATCATCAAGTAGATGGAATAATTAAATGAACTGTATTTATTGCCTTTATTTCAGCTAACAAAACAGAGAAGGGATAATTTAAAACGTGTTTTAGCAGATTAAGTCAGTGGCTATTAAATCTAGCCTATCTTTGACATCACATTCAGTACCATTAGCATAAAATCACAAACTTCAAAGCGACCAAAAAAACAAATCAGAACAAGCATAGGCAAAAACTTGATCACCAGTAATCAGAAGTAAGCACACTGCTAATTAAATAATAAAATAAAATAAATTACCTCCATGTTTCAGCAAAACCACGCTTAGCTGATGAAATAGTCTGGATTAGTGATGGAGCTTTTTATCCATGGGGTTAATTATATCCTGTAGTAATCAGTATACAGTGTTCTAATCATTAATCATACTGGAGGTTAGTAACGGGTCATTTTTTTGCTGTGTGAATTACCATCAGGATCTGAGACGATTCTAGCAAACATATTTAAACTACAGCCCTTAATCTTCAGCTAACTGAACATATTGCCCCATTGCTTCAGAAAAAAAACCCACTACCCAGAGTTTACTTCTGCACTTAAAGATTCAAATAAGAGGCAGGGAGTTTGCCCTCTGTGTGCTCTGAAGCCGGATTGTTCCCACTGAAGCTGGTCATGGACCGTGCGCCCATCTGGCTGAAAAATCAGCAGCGTCAAGGGGGCACCGACTTGGCTGCACTGTCTGTGGCCCCCTGTCTCGATCTCTGGTCTCTGAGCATGAGCTGCAAGTGTCCGCTTTGCTTTGGAGAACAGAGAAGTGGGTCAGTCCAGTCCAGATAAAGCATAAGGAGCCTAGAGATAGCTAGTATATCATAGTATGGCATATTGCCTTGATGTGATCGACTGTGGTCATTTGTCCATAATCTCCAATGGGTGGCCAAAATCAGAGTGGGAGAAATAAACAGGACAGCCCAGGACATCTGGGGGGGACAATCCTCCCCGAGCATACCAGCACCCCAACTCCCCAGGAGACAAAATGGGAGCTATACCACTCTCTACCACCGGACAAGGACAGACATTTACAGACAGCACACGAGTCAGTCCAAAGAGTCAATTGTCCAGTCCATATTTAAAAAATAAAAAATAAAAAGTTAAGTCAAACTGGACAAGAGAGGAAGAAGCAGAAACAATGCAGTCTTCTCCCCGTATTGTGTCACTTCAGTCACCCTCTACAGAAGGAACAGAATAGCAGACCATTCTTCCAAGGGTTTATTATTCTGGTGGTGAAAAGGCCCTCGTTCACTTTGCTGTATCTTGCAGGTCTGGTCTATGGCAGGAGGCAGTGAACATGTCATATGAAACCTTCAATGTAAGCCTACAGACATCTCGTCCCAGAATACGAGCTTAAAAAAACTGCAATTCCAAAAAACACAACCAAAAACTGCAGGATTAATAGAAAGATATATAAATAAATTGAAACCATGAACATTATCAGCAATGGCTACATGAACAACTTTAATTCAGCTATGTAATATGAAAAATGTCATAAAACCTAATTTCAGGGAGAGGAAAAATAGCAGCGTTTGCCAAATACGCATAAGTATAGAGAAGTACCTGTAAATGAAATCTCTCTCTTAGTTCCAGCGAAACACAAAAAAAGGGGGTGTTCAGTCAGAAGCCATTTCAAACGGGGCCATTTCGTTTGGTGGGCAGCCGTCTCAAAGGTGCGGTAATCAGTCATTAGGCTGAGAAGCACTTTAACTGCAGCACGTGTCTTTCAGGCTGATGGGGGTGTATTTGTGCCTTTATGACCATACAACGTCAGCTTCACTTAAAAACATGTGGTTGTTGAAAATGGGTGAATTATGCATCATGATTAAATGAGCAAAAGAACCCATCTATCCACTCAGTAATTACATGGCGTATTAATCACTATACTGCATTTTACTGTACTAGTTATGACATTTGAAATATGACAATAAACTCTGAATTAGGAGAAGATGTCCACTAAACTGATGAAAAATGAAATGCAACCTTGAGCTCTGA